GGGCTTAAGATGACTTTGTGCATACTTACTATTTGAAACCTGGATCGTAACTTGACAGGGGGGTTGAGGGTTTGGGTTGCATCTGTGTATATGAACTAGGCATGTAGATAAGTCTTGAATTCAGCTGCAGGTTACCCAAGCACAAGGATCCCCTGAATCCTATGCTACTGAACAAGCTAATGAAGTCTCCTAATTGCTTCTTTCATTATACCCTTTATGTGTCTAAAAGCAAGTGAATCCTGGAGCATATGGCTGGGTGATCATGGGGGATTTCAGCTGTAGCAGAAGCAGGAAACTTGACTAGGAACAAGATTTGTTAATTAAACATTTTCTGCAAAACCAGCTTCCCTCCTTGCCTGGGCCTGTGTAGTGTCACTGAGTTTCAGAGAGGAGAGTAGTGGGTTTATCTGTGGTGGTGCAATGTGTTGTCACTTTGATAGCAGGCTTTGCAAGAGTGGCAGAAGGTACAGTTTTCTCTGAGGGTTTCTTTCTTATTTTTTTTTTGTGCTGCCTCTACCCACCCTGTGCAGAAACCACAGCTGAGGTCAGATACTTTGGGGAGAACAGTTGTGATAGTACTTTGTTTTGTTGCAGCCAAGGGTTTAGGGGTGGCGGAGCTGTGTCTCTCTGAAATAGGGGTTGTTTTTTTTCCCTAAGGAAAAAAAAAAAAAGCTTTGTAGTTTTATGCATCATGGCAAGTTGTATTTCTCAGGCTGCTCTGTTGTGTTGCCAGGGCTTCACAGTGGTGTTCACTTTCCCAGACGTGGAGGTCTGGAGCTGAACTAGTCACTCAAGACTCCCTGTACAGTCAGTGCAGAGAAGTAAGGGGGTTGTAGGGTAAAGTCACTGACCTATTTTAGACACTTGCTTTAAGATAATGAACCTTAAAGCCTCACCCTCACTGAGTGCTCCATTGATGACTGGTCCCTTGTCAGCCTCCACACTTAAGTGGAAGAATCCCACCCCCTGCATGTCCTGCCTGGAAGCAGATTGTGTCCCACACTGCTGCCATTTGCTATTATCATGCTGAAGAGCAAGAAGGTACAACCCTAATTTGTTGAGTGTGAGTCAGCAGCTGCCTGAGAGCAAAGTGAGCTGTGTGAAACAGTACCTCATCTCTGCCTTCCCAGAACTTCCTACGGTTGTGGTTTGCTTATCCTTATTCTTATGGCAGTCTGGCCAAGGATTTGGTGTAAGACTTTACTCAGACTTTAATAGTAGCTAATGATAGAGTATGGGACTTTACTTTTATTAATAAAATTCTTAATGCCAAAGGCAGTTGCACAACTGCAGAGAACTTTCCATATCTGAGCAGAGGTATTTCTGTCCTCCACATGTGTACCAGCTGTTTTTACCTGTCTATTGACATAGTCCCTACTAGGAGCTGTGTGCAGCTGTGGGACTTCCGTCCTCAGCCAGCTCAGTTCCAGCCCACAAATGAGGCTCAGATTTCCTGCCTACCCCTTCAGTGCGGCCCCTCTGCATGGTTTCCTGTATTTGACATCTTCAGCCTGCAGTCTGAAGAGTTAAGAGCTGGTGGTGCTCCTTAGGCTTCCTCAAAGTGCAGAAGGCATTGTAGGGATGTGGAGCAGGCATGTCAGCCAGCACAGAGCAGGGCAGTGGCATGGAGTGCAGCTTCTGGAAGAAAGGCAGAAAAGTACTGGGGCATCTATGTACTGCAAACAAAGTTTCGTAGCTAAAGTTTCCAGCAAGGTGCCTAATTTTCCATCTAAGAATGCTTCTGCTGAGATTCAATTAGCCATGACATGAGACAAACAGTCTGGGTACCTAACATCAAAGGAAGAGTCAGTATGATGTATATGAGGTTGGCAGCTGTGTTTAAAAAATGTCCCTAGCCTGGTATGGATACTCCCTATGTCTAACCAGGATCCTGAGACTGCAGCAGCTTGACACCAATAGTCCTTTTTCAAGGACTGACATGTATCAGCATCTCAGAGCAGCTGGCCTTCTGGAAAATGTAAAATCCTGTTCTAGCCTTGATGATGAAACTCGGACTGCTTTGCAGGTTTGTACAGGCTGCTGGTTTGCCTAGGAAAACTGGTTTGGTTTGATCTGTCATAGATTCTGCTTACTAAATCTGTTTGTTCCCAGGAACCTATTTTCTTAAAGAGCTGAGAGGCTCAGCATATTTTTTTTTCCCTGCCCTGTATTGTGATCATCTAAACACATAGTATTTTAATTAGGCCAAATTCTCTGCTGATTAAATGAGTGCTTTGACTTCAATGGAGTTTCACTTATCTATGACTTACACAGAGTTTACAGTCAGGTTTTTTTATGTGGTGCTCATTGTCTCTGGACATGATGGTCTAAAACTTGGACTCATGGGCAGCTTGCTTCTAGGAAATTCTGGAGCAAAGCTTGTGCAATATAGAATCTCTGTCACAGAGATGTCATATTAGCATATTTTTGTAAGTTTTGCTAATTGTGGAGCCTTTGGGAGCAGTTTGGTTAGCTTCTCAATGTCCGAAGTGCAGATATCCCCTGTCTGCTTGGAGGCTCAGGGTTTGGTCCGTCTTAAAGCTCATCTCAGTGTGCCTGTTGTCCCAGGCTGATGCAACCAGCATTCAGTGAATGCCAGGGGAGCTGGCTGCAGTTGGAGCTCTCGCTGTGTTACTGGATTAAACTGAGCAGACTCCAGGCTGCTGGGGTGAAAGGTGCCCTCTCCTGACTGAGGCCCTGCTTCTTGCTAGCAGCTCCCCTTCATGACTGCCCGTTCTTAGCACTGGAATTAACAGCTCTGTGGTGTGAACCTGGAAATAGATGGGATGTGATTCAAAGTTACCAAGTATCAGACTGAATTAATGGTGACTTAACTGGAATTACTCTGGTCAAACTGGTACCCAGTCTTTGTCGGAAAAGGGTGGTCTAAGATAGCATGAGCATGTACATAAAGGGGGGGAAAAATTAATCTTTTCTTTTGCAGTGTCTGTGTCAGATATCTAAACGCAAGCAAGTTAGTAAAGGCTTTATGAATGAGATGCTCCAGACAGATGATGGTTAGTGCAGAAGAGCGAAGGGGAGGCTTGCACTAGTAGGGAAGTTCACAGCATGGTTCCTGCCTGAGAGAACACAAGATAGGTTTATCTAAATATCCCTACAGGTTGATGGGACTTGCAGCAAATGGTATGTGAAGAAAGATGTGCTAAACAGTCTGTAAAGGGACACTCAGCTGTGAAGTTTTCTGGATGGATGCTCTATACAGAGCTCACAGCTAGGCACAGGACTAGGCACAACTGAGTGAGGGTGGAGGACTTGCTAAGGAAAAAATCCCTGACTTAATGAAGAGTACTTGGCTTCAGTTAGAAACCTTGACACTCCTTGCCTTGGGCCAACCTGATGCCTTATTTCTTGATGTCTCTGCTAGGTCACTGCCAGGATAGCAGCTGCTGTGTCTCTTGGGTATAACACTGAACTGCAGCAAATGAGGAAATTCTGCTCACTGGGAACAGATGTAACAGGCTTGAAGAAAGCCTATCTAATAAAAGGTTTTAATTAACGACAGTCAGCTGAGCCATGAAGAGGGAATGTCTGCATTCTCATTCCAACTGAGTGAAATCTGCTTTCCTTTCTGCAGCTTGTGCTTCTGCAATACTTGGGGAATTCATCACAGAATCCAGAGCCATTGATTTCTAAGCCAGACAGTATTGTGCCACGTTAATCCCCTGAATACAACAAATACTTTGCAGATGTCACAGCAGAAGGAAGATACAAGAAAAGGCAGTGTGCAAAAGTACACGTTGGTGTTCAAGCATTTGCATTAGCAGGTAGCAAGGTGGAAAGACAAGTACGATGCCTGATGGGGTATACAGACCCTCCAGGGCTTACTACTTACCTTAAATCTCCATTTTACCCAGACCTGAGTTGCCCTGCCTTCCCTTCAAGGCACCTGCTTTTTATCCTTGGGTCATCTCTTGATCTCCCTGCTCTGATCTTTGTAGCAAGTTTAGTTGGTTTTTTTGGTTGTTTTTTTTTTTTTTTTTTATTCCTGCATCATAACTTCCCAGGTAGACCTGTCTTGAGTGTTTTTCCATCAGAGTCCCATAGGAGGCCTTTGCATGTGACTGTATCAGCAAAAATGGCCCTGCTAAGCATGGTGCTTCCAGCTCTGACGGAACAAGTCCTCAGGGAGTCATTACCAAAAAGACTTCATTTGCTGTCCACCGCAGACCACTGGTGTTTAAGCATCCTTGAAACTCTTGGGGAAACTGTCAGACCCGGAGTCACAAAAGTAGTGTTGCTTGAAGTATTCTCTGTGTCAGAGACCCTCGAGTTTTGGATGTGATGCAGGGCAGCTAATCAAAGGTGATGAAGCAGCTTAGTTTTCTCTCCAGATTGTGGTATCAGGTGATTTATAATGGAGGTTCCCTCAGTGTAAAATGAAACCATAAAACAGGTACAGTATAGTGTATTTTACATCAATGGCTTAAGATTTCTGTCTAAACTCGATACTGCTTTTGCACACAGGAGTGAGTTCACTGACTTGTCAGCTGTAGATAAAATTCAGCAAAGGAAATGGCAGGAGTCTCTTCCCAGAGCTTGAGCAAGTCTGAGGTGCTCCCGCTGGCCAAGGTCTCCCCAGGGCTGAGCCTGGCTGTCGCCCCAGAGACTGCTCAGGGTGTGACTTAGGGGACCAGCGTGTCCCTGCCAGGGTAAGCCTTTCAGAGCACTCAACTCTTGGTGCTGACACCCAGGGCTGGCCTCGGAGCTGGCACCTTCCCTGGCCCATCAGGTGGGTGCTGCTGGGCGCGGAGCGGGCTCTTCCTTTCGGGTGGCAGTGCTGGGCGGGCAGCCCCTGCCGTTCCAGCCCTGCTCCAGCGGGTTTGCGGCGGGGAAGGCTCCACTGATGACGGCTTGGAGTGGAGGAGCCCTTCCTTTGCCACTGCCCACACAAATACACTCTACAAAGGCCGTTTCCATTTTTTTTTTTTACCCCTTCCAGTTCTCCGTGAGAAGGTTCATCATCTTAAGCTGGCAGTGAATGCTTTGTACACATTTTTATTGATTCTAAGAGCAAGCAGGAGTTCAGATAGCTGACAACTTCCTCTTTGGCCTAAACATTTCACGTGGGAAGTGTTCATCCGCGGCAGGGGAGCAACTGGCTGAAGCGGAGTTGATGTGACGGGTTTGTCCTGCGCTTGCGAACAGCAGCAGCTCTGAGCGGCCCCGGCTGGCAGCTCTGCCCTTGCCGGGGGGCGTGGGGGCGCTTGGCGTTTTCAACCCCTACATTAATTCAAAATTTTGTGTAAGTGGAGTTTTATTAAAAATTTCAAAACGAGCGCTGTGTGCTCATCTTAAAAAGTTAAAAGTTGTGATTTCCCCCCCCCCCCTTTTAATTCTAGGCTGTAGCGGCGCAAAGGTTTGCTTCCCCCTGGCGCAATGTGCCGGCAGGGTTACCCGCGGCCGCCGCGGGCCGGTAAAGGGCGGCGGGGCCGCCGTGGGCCTCTCGGTTCAGCGGGGACGCGAGTGGGCGCGGGGAGGGGGAGGGGGCGGAGCCGGCCACGCACGTGCGCTACGTGCGGCGCCTGCTCTGCGGCGGGGCCGCCCCTCCCCCCGGTCGGGGGGGGGGGGGGGAGGGGCGGGGGAGGCCCCTCCCGAGACGCCCCGGTAAGGCGGGGGAGCGTTATCCCCGTTAACGGTCCCCCCCCGCGATTGGAGGTGGGGGAGGGCTGCCCGTGGGCCCCCGGGCGGCGGGAGAACAATGGGTGTCCGTTCCCCCCGCTCTCCCCCGTGAGGCGCGAAACAAAGGGGCCGGGCCGGGGCCGCCAGGGGCTCGCGGCGGCCGGGCCCAGACAATGCGGCCGCGCGGAGCCGCACGGCCCCGCCCCGCTTGTGACGCGGTCGCGGCGCCGCCAATGGCGGTGGGCGGAGAGGCTCTTTAAAAAAAGAAGCGCCGGCCGGCGGCGGCTGTCAGCTGTGGCGGATCCCTCCGCGCATGTAAACAGAGCCGTGGCGCCGTCGGCGGCCCCTGTGCCGCTCGCCCGGGGCGGCGGGGGTGGCGCGGGGCCTTCCCCGAACCGGCGGTGCTGGGGAGAGCGGCCGCGAGCGGGGCCGCCGCGCCTGAGGGCGAGGGGAGCCTGCCGGGCCTCGGTCGCCGCCGCGCCGAGCCCAGGCACCGGCCGCAGCGTCCCCGCGCTGGGCTGAGCAGAGGGGGCTGCGGCCCTCCGTGAGGGGAACCGCCGGCTCTCCGCCCCCCCCCCCCTCAGCCCTGCCCCGGTGACACCGGGGCCCGGCTCAGCCGCCCCCTCACAAAGGCGCGTGACGGGGCGGGGCGGCCGCCGCCCCCTCCCCCCGCCCAGGCCGGGGCGGACTCTTTTTCTCTCGCGCTCCAGCTCTTCACCCCCCCCGCCCCCCCCCCCCCCCCAACCACCCGCTCCCCCCCTCCCGGCGGAGGCGCACGGCCCGTTCCAGCGGCGCTCGGCGGCCCCGCGGCTGTTGAAGGATTGTTTGGCGGCGACGGCCCCGGCCCGGGCCATGGCCGAGTTCCTGCCCCCGCCCGAGTGCCCCGTCTTCGAGCCCAGCTGGGAGGAGTTCGCCGACCCCTTCGCCTTCATCCACAAGATCCGGCCCATCGCCGAGCAGACCGGCATCTGCAAGGTGCGGCCGCCGCCGGTGAGTGCCCGCATGGCGCCGCCGGGGAACGGCCTTTGTGTGGCGGCCCCGGCCCGGCCCGCCCGCCCCTTTCCCCCCCCCCAGCCCCGCGCTACCCGAGGCCGGCGGCCACTCCACTCGGGGCCGCGCAGGTGACCCCCGGGCAGGTGGGGCCGCCCCCCACGCCCCCCCCTCCGCCGCTCTGAAGTTTCAACCCCCTCCCCTCCCAACCCCGGGCCGGGGCCGCGGGGCCGGAGGGCGCCCGCCCGCCAAAGTCGCTCCCAAGTGCCGGGAGTTGGCCAGAGCGGGCGGCGGGTGCGAGCGGGGCAGCGGCTGACCCGGCCCCGCCAGCCTCGGCCTCCCTCCCTGCCCCCCGCGCCTCAGTCCCCCCAAAGTTACAAGTTGGCCGGAGCCCCGCGCCGGGCGGCAGCGGGGGGCGAGCGGTCCCGGTGCGGAGCCCCGGAGGAGGCAGCTGCCTGGGTGTTGCCCTCCATGTTGGCATTGTGGTGGTGGAGGGCTGTGGGGACCTCTCCTCGCCCGCTCCTGGCTCCGCCGCGGCCTCCCCCCGGCCCTGCCCCCGCTCTGGCTCGGCGTTAACACAGGTAACTGTTTCCTCAAGTTGAACAACACCAAAGTCTGCAGCTGTGAGTTTGGCTGGTGTCTCTGCGAGCTGAAATCCTAGACAGACATGGCCACCATTTTAGAATGCAATACACAGTGGGAAGAGTAGTATGCCTTCATCTTCATCATCATCATCTCGACCGATGGTGAACTAAGCTCGAAATTGGGGTGCAAATTCTGATTTCCTTTTGCTGGTCGACTCAATTTGCTGAGAAATATGGCGAAGGTCTTAGAACCATAGTTTGTGTAGTCAGAATTGTTAGTTTGCCTAAAGGGATAAACAATCGTGCTGGTGAGGAGAGGGGCTTCTTAGAGTGAAAATCTAATTAACAGTGGTTCATGATTCATCTTTATTTTGAGTGAATTGTTCTTTGTAAGTGAAGGGTGGTGCAAGTCTGGGGTGGTGCAGCTGGCTTGAGGTAGGTAACATGACGGCAACAACTATAAAGCTGAACAGCAACTAGGAGCCTTAAATCTCATCCAGCAAGAGGTGAAGGTGACAAAACATTTCTGCAGACTTAAGTTTTGCGAGTGAGACTCTGAGTTCAAAGAAATAAATGTTCAGAAACACATGCTCCTCAGTTTCATGTTTTGATCGTTGCTGGGACTCCTGTTGGTAACCATCCTTTTCCTTCCGAATTAAAATAGAAGTAACTCACTGTGTTACTGTCTGAAATGATAGAAATGTTTGGAGCAGATTGAATAATGTGAATCTCATCGGAGAGGAGGATGTTTATATTCTGTGGAAGAAGAAGAGTGCCAGTTTGCAGTGATATGAACGCACACAAGAACACTCTTGAATTTATATCTGGGTAGAATATGCCAGTGCCCCTTTTCATGCAGTGTTGCCAAATGCTGACATAGTTAAAGGGGGTAAGATGGTTTTCTTTATACAGTCAATGCTGAACTTATGTAATATTTTTGAGTCGAATAGGCTTTTTGGGTTGTATATTGTCAACAGTATTTCAGCAACTGTAAGCAGAACAGATTTTTTTATGAAGGGATTTTCTTTTGTGATTTGTTTTAAAACTCATCTGTGTTTCTTGGCTGCTTGTGTAAAAAGCCAAACCCCTATAATAAAGGCTCCTTGTAAGCTCTATTATCTGTTAGAGTCTCATAAATGAATAGCTCTCCTTAAGAGTGAATTACTTATTACAACTGCATTTTCAGCATGCTCCTGTCTTCACTTACCAAAGAGCTAATATTTGTCTGTGTTTATGGTCATATGTTTCACTGAACACATTTAGAAGTAGGATGAAAATAGTTGGTGCTGCTGAGGGCTGAACACCTAATCGTTGTACGGAGCCTGGCTTTCATGAGAGCTTAGCTACCATGGCTCTCTTCTACCCTAGATAATTACTTGGGTGGCTTGTGCAAGTGCAGTTGTCTGTTCTCCGGCCTGGAGCATAGAGGGAGCTCTTCCAAATCTGCCAGAAAAGGCCTTGGAGGTGACGTAGTTCCTGGCCTTCCTCCTGAAAACAGGAGACGCAATGAATATTCGGTTATTGTTCTTCGCTGTGTAATCAAGTGGTTTATAATACCATGAGCTACAAACTATACTGACTTTTTTCACAAAATTATTTATGTTCCAACCAAGTGCATTGTCTAGCGGCAGCTAAGGTTTGAAATCTTAATGCATCCAAATGAATCTTTTGACTGCGTTCTTAGCCCAGTTATGTGCTGGTAAGCAGGTAGGCAGGACCGTGAACTGTCAGGATTTGTGCCGAAAAAGGAATTAAAAATTTGATTGTTGGGCTTGTGCTATTTTAGCTTAAACTCTGCTGGATAATTTTCAGCAGATGAATTCGTGCTTTTGTATCTGAACTGCAGTATGGGATAATTTTGTGTGAGACTGGTGGTGCCTGACTGCAGCTTCACAATTTGTTCATCAAGAAGTCCTCACTCCTGAGCTAGCTTTGATGTTTCAGCACCAGACTATGAAGATGAGATCTCCCTGTTCTCTAAAGGACCAGAGTCATCTTCTGCTCTGGCACCTTTCTGCTGGTATTAGCGGGGCACAAGGTAAGCTTGTAGAAAACCACATCTGTGGTGGCTTCTCTTGTGTGGCAGGTTTCAAGGACAGTGAACTGTTTTGTGAGGGGAATATTGAGGCATCAGACATACTGTAGACATCTGGGTGGAAGGTAATGGATTCTGGGTGATTGTCGCATATTCATGGGATGAAAGAACATCCGAGAATATAACAGGAGGTATAATTTCTGCATAGCAGTTTCCAGTTGAGAACTGAAAAGAAGCTTTCTTCCTCTTCAGTCCGGTTCAATTTGTTCCAGTCATCACTGATGACTTAGTTTTGCTCTTATTTGGGTGATTCTGGGATACTGCAGTGACTGTCTTGTAGAGGGTGCAACAATAACCATATTCATTGACACTGTTTTATATGGAACAGCAGAGCGAAGGCTTTTTGTCAACAGTTTTGAGCATAAATAGACAGTCCCACTGGCAGCAAAATGTTCAGATGAGATACGGGGCTTTGCCAGAGGTGGTTGCTTCTGGTAGTTAATCTGCTACGTAAATTAGAGATGCTTTGACTCTTTGCAGCTGAACTGAAGGTGGGGAGCTAGATGCAGAAAAGTGGATGGTGTTAGTCCCTCACATGCAGTGTTGTAGTCAGAATTTTCTTCTATGAACTGGAAACAACCTTTATTAGGACTTCTTTGTTTAAACAGTAATCTGGAATAGTGTTTTATTCTGAAACCTGGCATGTCAAGTGGTGGTCTTACATTTTGGCAGATTTTTATGATAGCTCTGCAAATTATTGCGGGCATTTAGAAGAATGAAATAAAATATTTCTTGAGAATGGTATCACTGTTATTTGAAGTAGATAGTTAATAGTAATTAATGAAAGCAAACAGTCTAACAAATTTGAAGTCTAGCTTCAAGAATAAAAGGTAAAATGTAAAGTGTATGATACCACTTCTGCTCCAAGTTTTTCTTGAACGGACTCTTCCTTCCGTTTCGTTGTGTAGTTGCTTTACTGCCATGAAGAAATAGCTAATAAAAATTACATAAGCCTTGCTTACAATATTAACTTGTTTCAAAATATACAATATTGTACAATATACTAGAAACATTTTAATTTTCACATGGCCAAACATGAAAATTGAGAAAATCCAGGCTAAATTTCATTGCTTTTAATAATGTAAATATGAAGTACAGTTAAGGCCTCCAAGTAACCTTAAATCTGCCCTGATAAAACTAAGCATTTTAAAATTAGAAAGTCTGTATTAATATAGCTGAAATCTTGAAGGAATTGATGCTGGAATTATTAAATTATTGACTTGCATCTTTCAGTAAATCCTGGAATACTGGGAAACTTTCAAGAGGACAGTAGGAATTAACTTCTTTATGGGTTTACATTCTCTTTGGGTGCAAGAGTTGTTGACCAGATCTCACTCCAGGGTAGAAGAATGGCTGATACAGTCCTAAATCGGAACTTGAAAGGTGATAGTATGAAATACAATTGTGTGGAAGATGATGTTGCCAAATTACTTCTATTGTTTTCTATGAGACTGTGTATTTGTTTAAGTCAGTTGTGTTGTCATGATCTGAGAGCTATAAATTAATTGAGTGAGTTTCAGTATTCTAATTATTATAATTGTTATTGTGCAAAATTTATAAAATGCTGAAGGAATCACAAATTATTTCAACTATTAATGAGAATTTGTAATGAAGGATAAGTGTCTAATGGTCTTTCAGAACTTCAAGCCAAGGGTATTTAATTTTCATTAAAAGTCTAGAAGAACAAAAGAAATTATTCCATATAGATCACAGTTTTACGGCAGGTAGCTCATTGTTATAGAGGGATCCCGATTGCTTAATAAACAACGGATGTTTTGAAACAGTAATCACTTAAGTAGGACTCAATGTGAGGTTTTACATTTAGGAACAAAGGAGGGTAGGTTAGCCTTAGAGAGGGGAGGATTGTAGAAAAATAACTGTGGATCCTTGTGTAAGTCAGCGTGATGGTAGAATGGATGCTTTGGCTAAACCAGTGAATGCAGCTCTTGAGGTTCTCAGTGGAAAAATAGGATGATTTTACCTCTGTGGTAGCATGAGAGTAGAAAATACTGCATTCAGAATACTGTACTTGTTTGAGAATTTTTTAAAATATTGGAGAACTAGAGATGGTATGGAGAAGTATCAGGAAAGTTCTGCATATGAAAGAATGAATTTTGAAAAAATTGACCTTAACAAAGCTTTGAGGGGTGAAACCTAAAGGCATTGGGCTTCTGAGAACTAAAGCTGCTGCTCCAGGGATGTATTTTTCAGGAGCAATGTTGATTTTAAACAGAGTTTGTTCTGTCTGCTCATTCAGCTGCTTGCTTGATTTGTTTTCATTTCTATGGAGAAAAAGAAAATTCAAAACCAACCCAAACCCCTTAGTTAAAGTATGGACTAAACCCAATTCACTTTGAAGCAACTTTCTTGAGGGCTCTGGCGATTCCCAGACCTGGAGTTGTAAAACATACCACTGCTAAAATAGGAATTAATGCAGAGAATTTTTATACTTTGTCCTAAACAGGAAGTTTATCGTGATGTTCTGTCTGATTTGATAATACACAGAGGCTCAGTCAGTTGATTTTATCAAAAAGAAAACAGAGAGATAACTGAATTATAATACGTAAGTGAGCTTCATAGGGAGAAAATCATAGGTACTGCGTTGTCAGTCTTGATGAGAAACGCTTGAGCCACTGGTTCCTGTTCAGCATAAGCCAGGTTCACTTAAGTTAGGTAACAGGGCCTGCATTTTTAACTGTGAAGGTGATCAACTGTTAGGAAAAAAAACAAAGGGTGGTGGTGGATTTGCCCCTTTCTGGCACTTTGGGATTAAGAGTGGGTGTTTTTTTGGGAAGAGATCTTTCAGTGCTGAGGTTCCTGTTCACATGCTGTCAAATTCTTATAAAGGAAAATCAGGTCACCAAAGCTCATTGCAAAAATTTTTACTTTAATGAAGAATTTGCTGTGTTCAATACAGGGATCATACAGAAAAATTAGGTAAATTCAGAGTAGGTTACTTACTGGTCTCCTCTGATCTTTAATTCTCAGGGAAATATGAAAAAGTAGCATTGTTTTACTAATAGTA